CAAAGTGCACAAGCTTCAGACTTCAGCGTTGGCTGCGATTTTGAAGCTGAAATCGCGTTCGGTGTGAACGCACCATAAGACACGCCCCTGCAGCAGTCAGAGGGTGGAGCTGTTAGCAAGCTTAGCATGATCGTCTGTTGACCTTCAGCCTCGGGTGGGGAGAGCTGACTGCTGCGCTGCTCTCTCTCTCTCTCTCTCTCCCCCTCTCCACACACACACACACACACAAACCAGCAGTACGTCCTGCAAAGCGGGAGGGGAGGAGGGAAAAAAGGTAGAAACACAGCGGGGCAGCTGCAGCCCTAACGGACCGAACTTCAGTCAAACCAGACCCAACACTTTTATCCCTGATTTAAACTAGTGATCTGGTGAGCAGCTGCAGCAGTATGCTTTTATTTTTTTCTGTCAGGCTGTCGCGGAGCGCTCCTTCTCCTCTGTCCGGTGCTGGTGTGGTGTGAGGCGGACAGCTCAGCCGAGGCTGCTGGAGCTCCTGATCCACGGAGCCAACATGAGTCAGTCCCAGACTGAGCTGACTTGATCAAGTCTCACTCTGCCTCTGGTGAGGAGGGGGGTGAAAAATCCTCCACCTCAGACCGTTCAGATGTAACTATCTGTGTCGCTGTGGTCACTCTCAATGTAGCATCAATTATGCTAATGCTAGCTGTCACGTTCTCTCGTCCTGGCCACACCTCCACTCTCTAACCCCCTCCCCCACACACACCCTCCCCTTCCCACTTTGATGCATTTTTCAAATTTCGCCTTGGGGTGGAGTTATCTTTTCACAGGGGGGGTAAGATACACTTTAAGCGTCCCACATGTCACACACCACCAGAAGCACTTTAATTTTATCCCTGCTGCAAACAAAACAAGAAAATAGACACTGAAATACACATCAATTTTTTTAGAGTCTTCTTTAATAATAATGTGAATTCTTAATATGAAAACTCCCCTACCCACTTTGATGCATTTTTCAAATTTCGCCTTGGGGCGGAGTTGTCTTTTCACAGGGGGGTAACTTACACTTTAAGCGTCCCACATGTCACACACCACCAGAAGCACTTTAATTTTATCCCTGCTGCAAACAAAACAAGAAAATAGACACTGAAATACAAAAACATAAACTTTTTTAGAGTCTTCTTTAATAATAATGTGAATTCTTAATATGAAAAAAACACTAAGCACCGTGATGCAGTACATTTAAACCAGTGGTGTATGTATGCTGCATGTTTTTGTCATTTCCCTGATACCCCTGATTCAATGGTTGACTCCCCTTCAGCTTGTCTTAAAGTTCTGCAGAAGCCCATTAAAACCCATTTATTCTAATCAGGATGGTGGCCTTCAAGCACCAGGACTGAACAGCACTGTTCTAACCTCATAGTGGGCTTGACACAAAATTTAAAATCTAGCTTAACGAAGAAAAGATGGAGGGAAAAATGACTTCAACTTCAACTGGAAAACCAAAATATCCCAAATGAAAACAGCCTAATCTARAACAGCAGGAAGTTGAAGACTAATGCACTCAGATTATCTCAAAAATGTACGTGGAAGTTTCACACAAACGCATCTGAACAACAACGTTTTCCAGTAAATTCAGAACATAAAGCCATTAGTCTGGAACTACTTTGTCCCGCTCCTGCAGAGAAACAACAGAGTCGTCCCGAGGCCTCGACGGCGTTCGCCTCACTCCTCTGTTCGCCTCACTCCTCTGTTCGNGTTCGCCTCACTCCTCTGTTCGCCTCACTCCTCTGTTCGTGTCACGTTCCCCGTTGGGCTCGTGTGCGTTTGTACCTCGGCGCGCAGGTTTTGCATCTCCTCGCTGAGTGTGTTTCTTTCCTGGATCAGCTGGTTCTGTTTGGCCAGAAGCTCACACACCTGCTGAGCGCTGCTCTGACAGAGTCGGTCCAACTGCTGCAGCCTGCAACACACACACACACACACACACACACACACACACACACACACAATGAAAGTGTGAGAGAATAACAAGCCCTCCTTGCTAATATAAAACCAAATGTTGTAAATATTGGAACAGAAGTGGATCCACAAAGAGCTCCTAATTTCACTGGACTTTGTGTTGATCAAACAATCAGCTCTGTTTGCTTGAACATGATGACAGTGTTTCTTACTGAGTGCAGAGAAGATGTGAGGAAGTGGCTGAAAAATGTAAAAAAAAAAAAAAGATCAGACATAGAGATCCCAGACGGTAGATATATTTTGCTAAAATACATCTAATACAGCGCAGCATCATTACATTTAAGCTGATTTGTTTCATTGTTCTGTCTTCCGGGTGTTAATTTTGAGCACTATGCCTGAAAACTGTCAGCTTTGTGCTGAGCTGAGTTTTCCTCGTCCCATTTTTTCAGAGCGAAATATAGAAAATTCGATCACGATAAAGTTTAGGTACTCCAAGAATGTTTAAGAAAACTTTTACAAAGTTTCTTTACTTTGCTTCAAGAGGTCAGATGATGCAAATTCTAAACCTTATCTCAAAAATCAGAAGTGATGAGCTCCTTTTAGGCACTGATGTTGAAAACGAAACATTTCATATTTAAGAAACGCAATTCAAAACTCCGGTTTCACTCCAAAACACCAATATCTCTGTTGTATCATCATCATCACAGACCGCAGCGTCAAAGTCGCAGAACGTTTTTTTAAACGAGCTCAGTGAAGCAAACATCTCACCACCTGCAACAATACTAAAGATACAAAAATATCCTACAAAAATGTCCTCACTTCATTCTCAGTTTGGTTAAAAACTGGAATAGTGGCAGGAAAACTGAAGGAATGTGCAGCTTCTAGTCAACATCACAACATCCCAATTAATGTGTCCTCCCTCTGCCACAACCAGACAATACACTCTTTCACTGCACAGGGGATTAAACTCTGTGTGTGTATACTTGTTTCTACTACAGAGTGAGGACCATTTGCAACAGAGTTACTATCAAAGTGAGGTCTTGTTCAGTGTTGTTCACTTTATTTGCAGCTCTGCTGTGCTTTACTAATCAGGTTTAGAGGTATGGTGTGGATCAAGTTTTGGTTCAGGTTAGTGTTAACTAYAGACCAGTAATGGTTAGTTTTAGGGAAAATGTCTGGTTAGGCTTAAATACTGTTATAAAAATGAATGGAAGTCAATACAAAGTCCTCAGTTTGATGCAAATACAAGGATGTGTGTGTAAAAAAAGTGCAAGATGAAATCTGTTGAAATGTTTTCCCACCAAACGCTCCCTGTTTCACCCTCATCCATCCCTTCAGTAGTGAACTCTCACTCACTCTGATGGGACTCACACACACACACACCACATTTACATCTTCAACCACTTTTACAATAAAAATGAAACCTYGCTGCCGTTTCTACTTGTTAATTACAAGACTTCATTGCTCTGTCAGAACCATGCTTTTTGTACTTTTGCTCCGCCACATTCCAGAGTGAGAGACGCTCATTTTAAATCGACTAAATTTGCACAATTCAAGCCGTTTATTTGATCAGATCGATGCTGAACTTTCATTGTAACGAACGTTCGGCTGTCGTGGAGTTTTGTCACAGCGGCGTCACATCGTTCATTCGAAACGCAAACAAAAGTCGTCACGAYGCCTTGAGAAGAGTCAAAGAGGACAAACAGAGCCGCTGCTTCTGCGTCTTATCGCTAATCTGTAGAAATACTGATCTGTAGAGGAACCGCTGACACAGCAGAAGCTGCTCCTCTTAAGCAGGAGCTGCTCGCTTTGATGGTTTGAAACCACAAGAGCTTCAGAGTTTGTGTGCTGGAGAGGAGGCGTCTTTCGTGTTGTCGCTGTTTCAACAGGTTCAAAAGGCGATGGGGACGGTGGGTGGGACACGGGGGGGTGGCTCGGGGCAGAGAGACAGATAGGGGTAGCTGGGAGGGGGAGACAGATGCCCCTGCCCTGCTGGTCATGTTGGCAGCGGCGGGCCTGCCTGTGTGACAGACGGCGGAGGCGAACATCCCCCCACTGCCCTCACTCTGCCCCCCACCCCACTCACTCTGCCTCCCCTCCCCACTGCCCTCACTCTGCCCTGCACTCCTCTCCACTGCCGAGTTTAATCCTCCTCCGTTTTCACCATCAGTCATCTAAAACCTGCCCTCCTTCATCTCACCACCGTCCTGCCTCCAGAGCCCACTGAGGGGTTTATCTCAGACCTGGAGGGTCCACGCCCCGCCCCCTGTTCCTGCCTCCCACTCTACATCCTCCTCCCACACCACCAAGTCACACAGCCGGAGGAAAGGATGCACTGTGGGTGAAGACGACGCACACTCCTGGTGCAGGACGCAGCGGTGTCACTCACACACACACACACACACACACACACACACACACACACACCGGTCAGAAACGGAGCCTTTCGATCTGTCGCTGCAAAGTTGGACTCTCCTGGACCCGGGTCCTGCAGGCCTAACAGAATCTGGTCTCCTCCCTCTCAGCACTTTTACAGCAGGTTCCTGCAGCGGTCTCNACACACACACACAACGGTCAGAAACGGAGCCTTTCGTTCTGTCGCTGCAAACGTCTGCTGAGCGAAGTGTCGAGGCCTTCAGCTCCACGCCATCAAACTTAATGTGAGTCACGCCGAGGAAACGTCAGCCCTGATCCCGTTACAGCCTCCGATGCCGACACCGAACACGCCCCGAGACAATCAGAGAGAAAACGCTAAAGCCTCTCCTCTCTGGGAGAATCTGCGGCGAGGACAAGTTTTACACTTTGTCTTCCAGTAGAGACAAACGCGACACTGCAAACAGGATTTATTCTCAGCCTGTGAAGTTTTACTCTTCAGACGCGAACTGCGACTCGCTCACAGACGAAACCCTGCCAAGACAAACAAAACAAAAAATAACAGAATCTGCCATCTTGGAGAAGTCACGCTGCGTTCTCCTACTTCACGCAGAACCTCTTTTTAACTTTTAAAAAGGTCAGCCGGTGACCAGCATGCAAGAGTTTTACAAATGATTACAACTCGTTTGCAAACAGGAACGGAGGCATTAATGTTCCTGATGAGGCCACACACACACACACACACACACACACACACACGTGCGCGTCGCCGCCAACATAAGCAGTGAGGCGGTGGGGGCGGGTCGCGGCCCTGGATGTTGAAATCTGCTGCAGGCTGTGAGCTGCAGGTTCATGTACAGCAGGTACACATGTGAACTAAACACACCCGGTTTGTCAGAGCAGAGAGCTGCCAACCTCTGGCCTTAACCCACACACACACACACACTCACTCTGAAGCACCTCCACCTTCATGCTCTGCCTCCGACATGGGGGGGCGGGGGTGTTTGAGTGTGTGTGATTAAGGTAGCTCCCCTTCCAGCAGCTAAAGCAGCAAATCCAATAACTGGACCCCCATCTACTGGCACACTCATTAATTAGGGCTTAATACAGCTTAATGCTCAGACACTGCCCCACACTAATCCACACACACACACACACACACACACACACACACACACACACACACACACACAGCAGCTTGGCTTGCCTCTGCCCACTTCCAGGAACTGAGGAGGAAAGAAGGCTTGGCCGGATTTGCGGGTGGAGTTAGAGGGAAGAGGATCTGCTGCTGGTGGACAGAGTGTGGTGTCAGGAGAGCTGCAGCCGTCTCACACACACACACACACACACACACACACACACACACACACACACACACACACAGCTGAGCGGTCCGGGTAAGAGAGGGAGAACTTCCCCGCTGACCTGGTGAAAGGACACCACCTGCTGGATCCCTCTGCTCACTGACACACACTCCGGCACTGAAATGCCTCAAACGACTCTGCCTCCAAAGAAACAAGTGTGTATTTTGTTTTCCAGCAGACACACTTAAAAAAAAACAAAAAACAAGTTTTAGCTGGGAGGCACTTTGCAGTAATTTCCCCTGACGGCCCAATAATCAAACTCTGCTCACAATCCACACCTCAAACCCGCCGCGCTCTCTATTGACTGCTGCTACTAAAGAGATTAATTACATCACACAAACACACACAGATACCTCTCCGTGGCACATATCAGCCGTAGCCCACAGCTACTGTCTGAACTCTGCCGTGTTTGTGTTTGCATATTTATTTACAGGTGGGAGCATATGTCCTGGAGGCACGATCTATAGGGAAAGTGCTAACGTCACGTTAGCATCGAGGCGCCAGCGGATACAAAGACCTGGAAGCAGCGATCAGCTCTGTCATCCAGCAATCCTCATAAATGTGTTTTTACAACTAACGCATGTCCTGTGAAACAAAAATCCTCAGTTCAAAACAAACTTTAACAGATAGAAAACTGAAGTCTGGATGAAAAATGACTAAAAAGTCAGCTTTCTTTGTGAAGAAGTGGAAACATAAAACTTTAGAAACTCTATGTCTTAAACTAATTTGAGTCGTTTTGTGTATGAATGAGTGTGTCTGTGTTGGGGGAGACTTGAACCTCCAGCGGGGGGAAGAACGCAGGCAGACGTCCTCAGTTTGCCTGGTTACAGCAACACAGCCGGGGGCATGCTGGCTACAGCTGCCACACACACACACACCATGTTGCCCAACCCCAGGCCCACCATCACCAACCTCACACCCCCAGCACTCCAGCTAGATCTTGGCTGGCACACGACTGCACTCAGGGGTGTGTGTGTGTGTGTGTTCGCCTGAAGGCCATGCCCTGTGTCGTCTTCACTAACCTGTCGTGTCAGTTGTTGCCCTCAGAAACGGGCACATTTGACAGAACATCATCTCTGACGCTTTAGATCGTCCCACATTTCTGTCCCTCTTTAAAACCACCTGTCATTTTCTGACATGTCACTGTTTCAAATGTTTTTATTTAAGATCTGATCAATAAAAACTAGTCTACGATTGTTCAGTGACATGATTTTATAATGCAAACAAAACAAAATTTTAAAAACCAGAACAAATGACGTGTTTG